AAGCTAAATAACAGCTCTTTCTTCCTATGTAAAAATCGAACTGTTTAGCTACGTTTATGATGCACAACAGCCTGTTGAATTTCCGTAGCGTTTTTTTTATACACCCTGTATAGCTGGAATTGCCCATTGACTTCCAGACGCCATCATCTACACCAGTTCAAAATTTGTATTCATCTCTCCCTACACTGAAGGAATGCTCACCTTTCCCAGATGGTTTACCGCAGCCAACGCAGCATTCAACATTTCACTTCGAACGTGTTCGTTACAATCCCCCAAGGCAGACGGAACGAAAAACGTAAATAAAGGAAGAACCTGAAAGGATGAAGGAAATCTTCAAATTAACCATAACCTTAGAGACCTAACTCCATTAACACATTAACCCTTCACCAAAGATGCAATTTTGAAAACACATGCACGAGTAAGTTTTTCACAGATTTTTATAATTTGCAGTCTTTGAAAAACTCACGAGTGTTTGTTTTTCCAAATTGCACGAGAAAGCATAATTTAACGATATTATTCAACTGACCTCGTCGTCTGTAAATAAAGCAGCCATGTGGTGGAGCGCTCTTGCAATTCCTCGTCTTTCTTTCCAGAGGTCTGGAAACGGATCTCCCACGATCCTCCCAAGTTGATCTCGCTTTAAATCTGGAAGCTTAAACAAACCATTGTTTACAAAATTTATTTATACTGGATATATCACCATAACCCCACACTAGGAATATCTTTCTTTCCAGAGGTCTGGAAACGGATCTCCCACGATCCTCCCAAGTTGATCTCGCTTTAAATCTGGAAGCTTAAACAAACCATTGTTTACAAAAATTATTTATACTGGATATATCACCATACTCCACACCAGGAATAGTATTTATACTGGACACATCACCATACCCCACACTAGAAATAGTATTTATACTGGACACATCACCATACTCCACACTAGGAATAGTATTTATACTGGACACATCACCATACTCCACACTAGAAATAGTATTTATACTGGACACATCACCATACTCCACACTAGAAATAGTATTTATACTGGACACATCACCATACTCCACACTATAGGAATAGTATTTATACTGGACACATCACCATACTCCACACTAGGAATAGTATTTATACTGGACACATCACCATACTCCACACTAGAAATAGTATTTATACTGGACACATCACCATACTCCACACTATAGGAATAGTAA